CAACTGACAATTTGGTGGCTAAAGTTTCGGCGTCAGGTATTTTGGCCTTCTCAGAGCGTACTGCGGGCTGTGGGCTAGATTTTTTTATTTTCAACCTTCAGGTAACCTGGAGGGAGGGAATTTATTTTCGGTACATATTTTCTGGCAGCGGTGAAAGCTTTTGCAACTTGAAGGGCGTAACTTTAATAACTAATTATAACTAATTAAAATAATATAATTTGTCTTTGGGAATTGTTTGTTTTATTTAATCATATGATGTGCCATTAGTTTTTTTTGGGTATTGTTTCTTAATTTCTTCTTTTTTTTTTGGTTCATTTTAATACGCATTCATTTTAGGTAGTATTTGTTAAATCCATTCTGTCATTATACCATATTTACCTATATGCGTTTTAAATCGCAATGGCGATATTATAAAGGTCGTGGCGCGCGAAGTCTCTTATTTCAGGCGACGATGGTGGCGGAGCTTGGTCGTAGAGCGGACAGCCTAGATTGTGCTCCCGCGTGAGAGCTCAGAGAGCTTGTGCGGGGGCAGTGCGAGGAAGGGTGAGGCGGACGTGCTGTAGAGCTTTTCTTACTGGCGGAGGTGTGCACGCGTGGTTGCCGTTCGGTTCGGCAGAATGCGCGGAGCTGACGGCTCAGCGCGCCCTTAGCGGGCGTCTCCGCCTCTTTTGTAGCTCGGCGGGACTGGTTGCGAACGCAAAGATTCTGAAGACGTAGCGTTTTTGGGTTGTGGTCCATGTCTGGTAAGAGGCAAGTGGGGCGTGCGCGGAGGCGGGCTCTTTCTCTGGCTAATGGATGGGGTGAGAGTGGAGGAGAAGCTGGTCGCGAAAACCTACAAGCCGGTACGCCAAGGGACGACGAAGTGTGAATAAGCGGGCGCTTTTAGAGAAATTGTATCGGGAGAACGGAGGAAGAGGTTTCAAGGAGGGTGCGTGTTTTTCAATTTTGGCAGCGGGGGCATATGAGCGTGCGATGCCAGCGAAGGCCGCTGTAAGTAGCACGCAGAAATATCTGGTTCGGTGCCAAGGTAGTGCGTGCCAGCCAAAGCCTCATCGTTTTCATTGCGTGAGCCCTTTTCGCGAGTGAAGTTGACGGGAGATTTCTCGGGTTGGAGAGAGGCGTTTTCGACTTAGCATTCAAAGGGAAAGGCGGGAGACAATGCATTAAGTATTTAACTGACTGCTTCCGTTGTCGATTTGCGTAGTACATAATCATCGCGAAATCAAGGAGCCTCCAATAGTTGAATACGCTAGTTCTTGTTTAGAAGGAAAGGGGCGTTATTCAGGTATAAGCGAAAAAGGGTGGAGAAAGAAACTCCCTGAGGCAGCCTGCCTCGATCGTTGAGGGACGAGTGTACGTTATTGCGCGCATTTTGAACTGCTGTGCGAGAAACTGACCCGATCAGTTGAGGTAAGCAATCGCCTTTCCGCTCGCAAGGATCGAGCAAAGCGCGCATGCAAAAGAGTCGGAAAGGGATGTTATGTTCCAGAAAGAGTGGCCAAGTTTGCGTCTCTCCGAGAGCGAGGGCGATCTACGTGCAAGCGCCGGTAGCTCTGGCTTGTGACGCAGCTCGAAAGGAATTGTTCCATCTCTGAGAAGATTGAGGGAGTATTTTGTTGCAAACGTGACAGGATCAGTCTCCCACGTTTCCTAGGATGGAGAGTAGCTAATAGTTATTGTATGGAATAGTTTTATTTGCCAGGTTTTTGGTATTATGCATGGTGAATCTCACTTGGGATAGCCGCAGCATTCAGGAGCTCGAGTAAAAACTGATGCCGTCGCCCCGCCAGAGGCACAGTGCGCTGAGCGGTGAGACGTCAGCCACTGCTTCTGTATTATTGTTTTAGTCGCTGGAAGCTTCTGCGTATTTGGGTGCGAGGTGGGAAGGGAAAGGAATGGTTGTGCATGACGACGCGCATTGGCGACAACAAAGCGTTTGGCAAGATGGAGGGGGGTTTCGAAGGGCGAAATTGAACGCAGGATTCGAAGATTTGTTTGTCGGTGTACAGGGCGATGGTGGTGAGCGCCCGGGCGCACCCGTCCCGGGTTGCTTGAATAGGCGTTTTATTCCTGGTTGGCGGCCAGGACCTAAATCTAATGTGCCTCTCGTGGAGATTGCATTTCGAAAGGGGGGCGGTGGTGTTAAGGTTTAGCGTACTGGACTGTTGTACAAATTGGGGTTTCAAACCAATCTAAGCGTGATTTTTAAGGGAAAAATCTTTCGTACGCTTCCTTCGAGGGGAAGTAGCCCGGGTATGTAGATTTACTTGCATGTAAAAGATCGCTAAGCCTAAATGGTAAAATTTGAGCCGAATTTTATTAATATTATTCAATTAACCGGTTGTTTCGTATTTTTCTCTTGTTGTGAAACGCGGTGGGAAATTTTTGATGGTGAGCAGAGGGGATGATGTAACGAGTATTGCATGTGAAATAAAGGCACAAATTATATAATGATTGACTACATTGAGAGTTTATGGAGAGATGAAGGATTATTTTAATTGGCCCGCTTCGTTGTTAGGGATGAATCGGGGGACTTTTGAGTTTGGTATATAGATTTTTATTGTTTGTTGAGCGAGAATTTATAACAGGTGAATTTATTTTTGTTGAAATGGCTTTTAAATGTTAGTGACGTTGATTCAAAATGTTGCGCATTGTTTTTTGGTGTTTTGGCAAGGAGAAGATGGATATTATTTTAATATTAAAATGAAAAATCCATTGAATGGTGAGTATAAGTATCATAATTTATTTCATTTATTTGTGAAAGACACTGATTTAAAATAATGCATATTAAAAAAATGGTTAATGTCTGTATTGTTTGCCTTTAAAATTCTTCCCCGCTGTATGGCGAGTTTCGACCCCGACTTACTGTCGATTAACGGGGTTTTTGTGAACCAGCCGCCCCCCGCAAAGTGTAATATGCTTTTTAAAGACTATTAATGGTTTGTAATTGTTGAGTACATTGTCAATACATCGTAGAGTATAAAAATGTAAAATGTCCTCTTTTGTACTGAAATGTCTTCCTTTGGGAAAAAAGTATGGTAACTCTGGTACGGTTGAACATCGCGCTGGCGAGAAAAGTGCCAGAAAATTCAATCCTTCGTGGCATCATTCACACGAATGGCTATCAGGTAGTTAAGTTTAATTGTTGGCCATGTCTTTTTTGTCAATTAGAGTACTTAGGATATGGGTGAATATTTGAACATGAAAAATGTATCCTAAACTACACAAAAACATGTAATGTCAAAAGAATACGTATGTAATTCAGTGAATCTTAAAAGCCTGAAAAAATTTAATTCAATTTCTGAATCATTGTTAGAGCAACACAAACTTGCTACACTTTTTTAGAATCTTGAAATCACGTCTGCGCATGTTTCACGGAAATAATGCTTTGAAATATAATGATATCAGGGATACAATTGTTTTTAATAAAATGAATAAAATTGTAAAAAATTGATTTGAGGTGGGTCATGGCCCCCCTGCCCCCTTCCCGGGATCCGCCGCAGTTGAGCAATCTGCTTTGCCTACCCTGAACATTTGTTCTCGAGCCGCCTCTGCTTGAGACGTACACTTGTTCTGCGAGTTTGTCGCTAGGTGTGGGCTAAGTTTTACATCAACACGGATCGGTTGCTGGTAGAATACGCCTGTCAGTCCAGACACCTCGATCGGTCGCTCTTTTCTTCCAAACGCGCGGCTACACAGAGGCGAACAAGACAAGAATTGATACCAGTGACTGCCACGCGAGAAATCCTGATTGTGAAGTTTACACTGAGTCGTCTTTGTGAGCGGACCTTATTCAACCCTCTTCTTCCTTTCCTTTCATCCTTGAACGTAACTATTTTGCCATTGCTCTCGCGGATTGTTTCACTCGCGAATTTTTTGCGTGAAATTGTGTAAAAATAAAATCTTTAACACGACACAGGGGTCAACAAAGCTTTATTCACTCAGGGAAATTGCAGTATTTCTGTACGATCATGCTCAGACTGTTTTCGGAACCTAACATTTCTCCTTGTGAACTCTTCTTATTTCTGTCTTATAAAATAACCATTAAAATACCAAGCATGTTTATTGAAAGACGATTTCACAAATTTTTATTTTTCACCATTAGATTCGTGTTTTGATAGTTCTAAATGTGATTTTCGATTTAACTCTGGTTGACGTTAATAGGCTAGTCTTACCACAAGCGAGCGGATGTCTATGGTTTTGGATATATTGTCCGTTGCTTCAGTGCATAGTTAAGTGAAATTTCTTTACATTTGGTTAGAATATAATGCTATATAGATTAATATGTTAGTGCATATTTGGCCGCCATTTCCTGTTGGTGTAATTCCGTGTAATTATGGGAGCATATTTTGCATATTTCTTAAAAGTAGATACTTATCTATAATACGAGTACGTTCCATCTTTCCATAGAATATATCTATTTGTGGATATTCGTTGATTCGAAAGAGCTTGTCAAGCTTGTATTTTTTTGTATTCTGTAGATGATACTTGTGCACAAATACCTGAGCAAAAATGTAGGATATTTCTTGATAACATATTTTTTAAACCAGTGAAAAGAAATACAAGACACAAAGTTCTCCACTAAGGTGAATATTAACTTCAATTATTTCCCTCGCGAAGTGGAGTAGATTGTGTTATGTTTGCCCAAAAATATATATCTTTTCATTTCAAACATGCTTCTATATTTTATCAAGAAAAGTTTATATAAGAAATGATATACTTTCAATTTTAATTGCATATTAAAGTGCATATTTCAGAAATTTTAGGTAATAAATGCATATTTTTAAAAGTATATTTCAAGATTTTTAGGGCACAAAAAAATGCTCACCGTACTCATCACATTGCGCTCCATATTTCATTGCTCGGAACAACTTTAGTTGTTCGGCCAATGCCTTCGTAAACGAGTCACGACGTCACTAGTTCGGCTCATGGAGTAGAATCGATTTATTTCAATTTCGACTATTCTTCGATACAAGAATTTGGAGGTAGAACAGTAGTTCTTTAAATACCCGCGAGATAGCGTTGTCACTTTGCCATGCTGCGAGCAACAAACATGACTGCTTCTGGTCGCGCCAGTGTTTTGGGAGGATTTAGCTTTGAAGCTGAATCGTTACCAGATTTTAGTGAATTTGACTCTACCTCTGTTGTTGAAGATTTCCAAGCGGAAAGGTCAGTAAACTTTTTTGTGTATTTCAATGTGCTTTAAGATTAAAGAAACGTGGCTTTGTGTTCTAATTATAGATTGTATTCAGCTGTGTGGGTTTCGAAAAACACCGCAATTTTAAACTGTAGTTCGTACCATGGTGTATGAGAGAAAACTATTTGGAACATTCAAGTAACGAGTTGAATGTCAATTTCACTTCAATAAATACTTCGAGAAAACCGTGTACCGTAATTGTCTTACGGTAGTGAGAGCAAAAGAAAAAAATGGAATGGTTTTTGAGCGGCAAATAGCCGACCTATATTCAATTAATTCTTACGCATTTATTGGTGAATTATTTTTGTCCCGTGGGTTGCGTTATTCAAGATATTAATTATGAATGTGTTTTGTTATATAAAAATCCCGCTTCATATAATTTCAATTGTCAATCAATGATTTGTGTTGAGCAATTTGAGTTTACAAAATTCAATTTTTATGCTGACTAAAATTTATAACAACCTCTGTTTATTGCCTGTCCATAAGGAAACAGATAGGTTTTGATAAAAGCTTTCAAAGAAATTCTTTTAATTTTTAGTAAATCATGAAGATCTTAGATGCACCGGAAATTATAGGAGATAGAGGCACTGTTTTACAGTTATTTAAAAACTGCCTAGAAGGAAGATCATTTAGGGTCAAAATAGATATCACTTAAATTGAAATAAAAACTGAAAAGGGGAATTCAACAATTCCTAGGTCCAATACTTCATCTAATATTTGTGAATAACTTAAAAATGATCTAGGAGATGGTTCCTATTATATTTATGCAGATAACAAGATGCTATTATCTAGAATAAGACGCAAAAGAGGCGACAGGGAAGTTACAGGAGAATTTGGTATATCCAAAAATGGTTCAATGATAAAGGTCTAATAAAAATATAAAAAGACTAAAATATTGCATATACACAGCTCCAAAAATTTCAAGAGCACAGTTAAAATATTCTTCACAAAGTCGACGACAACACACAAGACTTAAGAACTGTCAGTTGTATCAGAATGAACTATTCTGTAAAGCAAATCAAAGTATTAGGCATAAAAATTTTTGATCAAAATTGAGCTGGAGGACCATATTGGTGAAATTAAGCAAGAAAATAAGGAACATGTGTTTGGAACTAGATTAAGAATTGAGAGATTTTGTTCTTTATTAAATTTCTTCAATTACGTCCACTACTTCTCATAATGGATGCTCTGATCAGGTATGGAATTGAGTGAGAGGGGCTGCATCAAAACTCTGTAGATATACAGAACATACAGAATAAGTATTAAAAACCTCAATGAAAGATATTAGCATAAACAAACCACACGCCTGGAAGAGCGAGGCAGCATGCAGAAGCAAAAGACTTAAAAATTGCATGAATTCAAATTCTAAGCAAGCAATTTTTCACAGAAGTAATGCAGTGGGCACAGCATGAACTAAAAGGAACAAGCAATTTATTTCAGATACTTTTCATAAATTTGGAGAGAGGATGAATTAACACACGCTCTCCAAAACTGTCAGTTCAAATGCTGGATGGAATATTAGAATTTACGTCTAAATAGGGTATTGGGAAAAAAAAAAAGAAGAATGTATAGAAGATGCTGGCATGACAATAAAAATAGAAAGTTAAGAGTCTCTCTTTAGCTGTTCTTCTTGTCGATTTTGTTTTATTTAATTTAATTTGTTAATTTAGAATTTGATTTCTTTTTGATTGTTGATTTTGTCACTACAGAGTTTTTTAATATGTTAATGAACGTGCGAATCGTGTTCAATTAAGTTACAATTTATTTTGCTTATTGGTAGAATAATTAGATGGATTTCCATTGTTGGCTGTGAGTGTCTGATGGAGACAGAGTTTATTTGGTTAAATTATGTCCAACTAAGCAGTACAGCAAGAAAAAAGAACTGGCATGTTCATCCTGTGATCAAAAGGAGAAATCCTGACCAAAAAAAAATGTTTCTCTCTGGATTTAGAGACGCATTAAGGTGCTGCGTAGGATAACTTACAAATTGAATGAAATAAAAGAAAAAGAGAGAGAGAGAGGGAGAGGGAAAAAACTGGTCAATAACCTACTCCTCCTGCCTCGCCATTTCATTATAACATAGAATATACTAATGATGTTGATGTAGTTTTTATGAAAGTTTGCTAGAAGCAGATTGATTATAATGTATTATTTCTTATGTTATTATTATATTATATAGTATGTTAGCATTAAATGGCAATAACATTTGAGATGTTTAAATTATTGAGCTGGAGCGAGAAGAATGAATATTAGGCTTGGATAGACCGTATTGTCTGTAGCAAGTATGTGTTGTATATACCTCCACCAATACCCACATCTCGATCAAGTTTTCTCAGTTTTCCCTGGTCCCTGGAGCAAATGCTGAATGGCCCTTGTTTGTTTCGCTGAACAGTTATTAATTTCGCTCTCTCACCCAATACACATTGACTAGTCATACAAGATTGGTAATTGTGAGTCGGTAATAAAGTTATTATTACTATTATTGTTATTATTATTATGATTATTAATTCTCCATCTTACTGTTAACTGCGTACAAAGTAACACTCCAAACTCTTTTAAGTACTTTTTTTGTACTTGTCCGAGAGGGGTGGTGTTTGTCTGTTTGTATGTTTTGACTTACCATTGTGTTGAGCTGAATTCATTCATCTTCTGTACTTGTTTGCCAGTTCACTGTAAGCTGCGTGAACAGTTTCTACTGAATTTTTGTTTTCCAAGGAGACTCAACAGGCAAAAAGAAATCAAAATTATCAAATATTATCTAAACATAAGCAAATAAATTATGATAAATGAAAACAAGAGTGACAACATGGCAGTTGTGCAACCAGCAAAAATGAAATTAAGTATACTTAATTAACATGAGTTACAAAACTGTAGTGTACGAATCAACAATTAAAGAAATTCAAATCTAAATTATACACAATAAATTATAATACAAGCGAAGAAGAGAGAGGACAGAGCAGAAGAGAGAACTCTGAGAGCTGTGTCCTATTTTTTATGTCATGCTAGCATCTTCTATATCATCTTTTTCTTTTTTTTGCGCCAAAGCCTTTTAGACGTAAATTCTAATACTTCATCCAGCATTGAACTGAGCAGTTTTGGAATGGCTGTGTTAATCATCCTCTCTCAATTTATTGAAAAGTATCTGAAATATAAAATTGTGTTCCTTTCTAGTTTCATTGCTGTGCCCCACTGATTATTCTGTTGAAAAAATTGCTTTTGTAAGAATTTGAAATTCATTGCAATTTTAAGTCATTATTTCTTGCACGTGCTGCACGTCCCTTCCAGGTGTGGTTTGTATGCTCTAATACTTTCATTGAGGCTTTTAATACATTTAATTCTGTAGGTTCTGTTATATCTACAAGAGTTTTTGATGCAGCCCCTCTCACTCCAATTCGATACCTGATCAGAGACTATTTAATGAGTAGTAGACTAATTGAAAATTTTATATAGATACAGAAATCTTCAATTCTAATTAGTTTTTCGCAAACACATGTTCTTTATTTTTCTTGCTTAATTTCACAATTGGTCCCTCCAGCTCAGATTTTGATCAAAAGTTATGCCTAAATACTTTGATTCTGCGTTACAGAATTAGTTATTCTATTACACTGACAGTTCTTAAAGTCTTTGTGTATGTCGTCAGCCTTTGGTGAAGGATATATTTAACTTTGTGCTCTGCAATTTTTGGAGCTGTGATATGCAATATTTTTAGTCTTTTATATTTATTTATTAGACCTTTATCATGGAACCATTTTTGGGAATATTCCAAATTTTCTCCTGTAATCCCCTTCTGCCTTCTTTTGGTCTTTATTTCTAGACTAATAGCATCTTGTTATCTGCATAAATATAATAGGAACCATCTCCTAGATAATTTTTAAGTTATTCACAAATATTAGATAAAGTATTGGACCTAGGAATTGTTGAACTCCCCTTTTCCGTTTTTATTTCAATTTAAGTGATATCTACTTTGACCCTAAATGATCTTCCTTCTAGACAGTTTCTAATAACTGTAAAACAGTGCCTCTATCTCCCATACTTTCCAATTTGTTTCATGGCTCATTAAATTGTATGTTTTAATAGTAATAATTTGAATAAAAATAATTTTTAGTAATAATAATAATTAAAATTATCGCTTGAAAGTAAATTGTTAATTTAGAAAATCATTCTATTTCCTGTATGGACATTCAGAATTCAGGTCTGGGGCACTGCCAGAAAAACTAATTTGCCAGTTCTGCCAAGATTTCAATCCAAACTTCTAAGAATAATATAATCTGCACCGTGGTTCATAACAAATACTGTACTACACCGAGATTCAATATAGCTACAGTTCAAGAAATTAGCTCAAAATAACTCCGTCTGAATATGCATCCCTATCATCTAGCTTTAAACCTACTTGTCAGTAGCCAAGAAATTTCTCATCTGTATAGAATTTCCACCCCATCCCCCCCTCTGTTTTAATAATTAACATTTATTATTATGTTTTTTGTTTGTTTTGCTCTAACTTTTTCATATTCTTAAGGCTAAATGCCATGAAAAATACTTCTAGTAAAGTTTAATAGATCGCAGCTCTATCAAGGGAATGTACTTCACCGATAAAATCTGAACCAAATGTCCGTTTTTCGATCAGTAAACGGCATTTGCCGCCTTAGAAATTTCGCTACGAAGCTCTTTTTCGAAAAATCAGGCAAAAATTCGAATTTGAAATTGGTGCTCGAACTTCCGAGAAAAAAAGTGGGCTTATAGCGCGATGGCGACATGTTTCCTGAATCCAACGGCGTGTCAATCATGCAAATCGAATGAATAGGAGCATCGTAAAGTGAAATTTGGGAAAACACCTCGTCCCCCTCTCCCTTTCACGTATTGCGTGATCCCACCCCCCGTTGAGGGTAGATGTTATTTACACTTCTATTCTACTACTCGATTTTTGATCCCACAATGGCGTTTGTCTTCTTGATATAATTCACTTTGTGATTCTCTTTTCCCAAGTAAAATAACTGAAACTAATTTTAAAAATGTTTTCGTACTTTCGGACAAATTTGAAAAAGTGGTAAAATTGCGCGCTGTCATTGTCGAATCAGATTATTCCTCCCGTGAATATGTTAAGAGATTCCTAAACGGATGGATTTTGCGTAATGTTTTATTTTGAATAATAATATTTTGGAATAAAATTTATATGATGTTTGCATTTACAATCCTCGTGCATTTGCAATCCTTGTGCCAGTATCAACAGCTCACTACAAAAAACTCACCTACATGTACATTATTTTACAACACTTTGCCAGATGACATTAATCGATTAAATTCGACACAAAGGTTTAAGTCCCAAGAAAAATATTTTCTACTGCACAATTGTTTCTATACAATCAGAGACTATAACGAGCATCCAAAGGGAAAGTAAATATTCATTTTATGAGTGACATGTAATGTAATATTTACCCTTTGGACTGAATGATTTTAAAGAACCTGTAACAATTATTGTACTTCAACTTGATTCAATGACCCCATCTCGATCAAGTTTTCGTCTAGTTTCCCTGATCCTTGCACGCCACACAGTTTTTAACTGTTTTGGACGTAAATAAAAAATAAATGTTTTCTTTGCCACCCTCCTAGTCCGAATCTCGGAGAGGGCGCAATGATGATTCTGCGAGTTTTTTTTTTCAAACAATGACAGTATGTGCACGTGTAAAACTGCGGGTAGCCAAAATATTTTTCAACGTGGGAATAGGCTGTTTGGAGCAATGACACATTTGTTGGCGTCTGCCCCGGTGAAGCAACGGCTGTGAGTATCCCTTCTTAGCACCTGCAAGACCCAATCCTTCGCCGCGGCTGGACGCGTAGATAATTGAATGCGTGAAAGGAACGCAATTAAAGTGCTCCGTTGTAATAATATGCATGATTTATTGGAGAAAAACGAAAGTAAAATGTAAATGCTCGTCCTCTTTATAATTCATGGAACTGTTAGTCACGTCAAAATCTTCTGATTCTCCTACAATTATAACAATTGTGAATCTTCACCATTTTATGTGAGGCAGAAAATCTTCATTTATTCTTCGCGTCTGATTCTATCTGTCCATCACGGTTGTAAAAAAACCACAGTGTAGGTTGTTGTTCCGTGGTACCTATACGCGACGGACAGTCGTTACCTTCGCCGTCACCCGCCGCAAAGAGGGCAAATTTCGCATTTCCGGTATTAGGTGGTATCAGAAGAGCAACAAAATTTATTTTCGGGTACTAATGGGCAACAAAAAGGCGACAAATGCCTATGTAATTATTTTTTAATTTATCTTTGTAATTTCGTTTTCTTGTACTTGCGGTGCTACTGCAAACTTGATGTCCAGTTTGCCAATTGTTTATTGCAGGGTCAAATGAAGAGCGACAATGTTTTTGCGTAACAAATTAGCAACAAAAAAGCGACAAATTTTGAGTTCAATTTCATTTTTTTAACTTTGCTGTGCTAATATTTTGTACCTCGTGAGGAGGTGGTCCGGGAATTCCAAATCCGAAGCGGCACTGGGACTGTGGTTCGCAAATAGACAACATTGCGAATGCCCCTACTAAATTTCGATAATTATGATTGGCGCACTTGCTCGCTGCCCTTTTTCGCTTTATACTTCCCGCTCCATCTCCGCTATCACTGCTACTGATCATTCTTGAGCCTCCATGTCACCTCAGTTTACGGGACGTGTTCGAAAGATGACCGGGTAAAATTCGAAATTATTTGGAAACGCACAATTTTTCAAGATAAATTCAGTTCTATGTTATAGAGAATACGAGATCTGCCTCAATTATAGCACAAGTACTGTAATTTGAGAAATAAATTAATGATGCTACAGAATGGCACCCACTTTTTTTACCTAGTTCGCTTCCTTATTTCTTTGCTGTGGGCTATATTTTCGGTTTCCCTCCACCCTCTTCCCAGCTGCCATCCATTGTCACCTAAAGATATTTTTTCACATTTTTTTTTCAGTTTTTCGGTTCCTTACTGATAGAATCGAAACATGACTTTAAGAATACTATAGAAATGTAAAACCTCGTCATACATGAACATTGTCGTTGAAAAATTTTAAAACTAACGTTGGAGTGTTTCTGAAAAAGCAGAACTCTGATCTCAATTTCTCAGAGTACTTTTCAATTTTCGAGGAACTTTATGAGTTGAGCATCTTTATGTAATTACATATTTTTTTGTCGATCTAAAAATTTTAATTTTGGCGAATCGTCGCCGTACTACCACTATCAACATTTTTCGTTACATATATTTACATTTTTAGTTCTGCATTACATATTTTGCTATTTTCACAAAATATATTTTTATTCTCACAAATTTCGTCAATTTTATGAAGAAGCATTAAAAAAATTATTTCCTACATAGTTATTGCGTGCTGCATTCGCTACATGAAGACGCAGTAGGATATTCTCAGTCCTGCTCGTCTCCATCGGTTACCTCAGTGGCGGGAATTGCAGGTGTGAAAAGTATCACTGACGCCGCGTCTCGTGAACTTCCACCTTAATTTCTGAGAAACTTTGCCGAATGTCGAATGTAACGCTTCGCTGAGAATGCTACACGCTGCAGTAATAGTTTGCTGGTCGTAATGTCGCCAGCTTGTGTGATGGTTTCTATTGCGTCTATTCGTAGTCTGGCTGCTAAACGAGCGTACTGAATAGCAGTAGATTACAAAGTTTTACTACCGACGGGAAGTTGTATGGTACAAAGCACAGATCAATTTGTACTCTTCAAATTATTTTTAAAACGTTTGTATTTTTAAAATGTATATAGTCTTCTTATAAATTTAATTTCGTATTATGTAAATGTTCGTTTTATAATTGTGTATTTTAATATTGCATATTTTATCCTATTTTACATATGCATTACATATTCTTACTGATTTCATTACATATTCACATACATATTTGACGCTTCATACTACATATTTTTCCGCTTTCGATTTATAGGCAAAAGTGGACACACGATGGACAAACGAATCTGCACAACATTTTTGCATTTTCCAATTTTTTTGGGTCAGTGTTCACGCTTTCTGTGTGCTTTGGAATACGTTTTTTGCCAGTATCTGCTAGAGGAAACATGGTAAAAATAATCTAGTTGGTGTTTAAAGGTAGGCAAAAGATTGACAAATGTTGGTATTTTTTAAATATTTTAGGCATAATTTTGTAATTTGTTGTAAATCAAAAATTTCCTTTTTTTTCGTGCCAAGTTCACGGGGGTTCTGGATCGTCTGCGTGGGTCGGATCCGTATCCTCTGCCGCATTTTAGCGCCGGTCTGGAATCGCCACTTTCTGATCGCCTTTTTCCACGTTAGTGTTTTCGGGGGGATACAGTTAAGACATTAACAGGAATAACTGTACGTTGGCAGAGGATTTAACGGAAGAATGAAATTGAAAATGTTATTTGTTCCAATTTCATCCAGTATATGAACTTTTTTTGCACATTATTTGAGAATGTCCTATATGACAGAATATACACGCAAGGTGTAAATTTGAAAAAAAATATAATGCTCTTTTGATTAATAAATAATTTCCACGCTTTTGAGGCTTCTGTGTGAACCTCATATTATATACGCGTTGAAAACATGGGTAATGGGATGTTGAAAACGACGAATTCTTTTTAAACCAATTTACTTGCGAGTCCAGCCTTGAATTAGGGTTTCTTTCCTAAATTCAAATTACACACATGCAAAAGAAATATCAACCAAGTTTTTAAATATCGGTGGTCGCTAGTTCTTTAACATCTCAGACCTCGAGTGCTGAAATATCTCTGGGTGACTCTCCTGAACTTCGCCTGAGGGTAGGGTTCTTGTAATATAAAAACCCGCTGAGTTTGGGGCAGCGTAAGGTATGGTATGGACTGCAAAAGTACAGAACGAAGATTACCTAGACGTCGAAATAATAGTGTAGTGTTCATGTATAGGTAAAGAGAATGTGCGCCCTACTAGCATATCAGGCGCCATTAATTATTGCTAATGCCGAAAATTGGAAGGATGAGGATGTGCAGGGGCGGCGGCGGGGCCCCTGGACCACGGGTGAGGGCTGCTGTGTGGCGCGGGAGGCCAAGGGGCGAAGGGACCGAGGGCGCGAGGGGCTAGGGCCCGGCCGAGCGAGATCGATACGACGCGGGGCGGGATACTTGGTCATCCGGACCGCCGCGCCGTCTCTACCCCTCCCCAGATTAACCAATATACAGAGAAAGAACCGCGTTCGACTGCATTTTACACGAGTGCATCACCTAGGCATGGTGTTTTCATTTCAAATAAGTTTTGTTTTCTTCGTCATTCTATTGTGAGAAATTTAGGCTTCGTCCAACGGATGAAACGGTAAAAAAGGGCCACGCAGAAAATTCATGTTGGAGCCGGGGTTTGTTTAAACTGGAGAGGAGAGAAATAAGACCCAAAGATAGTGTTGAAACTCGCATCGGTTCATTCTGAGTTTTTCATTGAGTCCAGATCAACAAAGTTACCAGGTGTCGTTTCTCGGGTAATTTTCGCTCCTGAAACATTTTACCGGAATGGGGAATCCTTCAAATGTCTACAACATATAATCGTGACTCTAGTAGATCAATATTTTCTGCTGGAAGGTGGAAATTAAAGAGATTGACAAGAAGAATTAGTCTGTTGTTTTGATCAGGGCAGTTCAAACGCAAGAATGGGAGTTACTGTCGGCAATGGATAGCTGCAATGCCCCGCGTGCCATTCAGCTTTCATTTGACTTGAGTTGGTTGCGCCCGAGCGCATCGCCTCCCGTCGCGCTGATTCGACTTGCAGCGGGCCACCCAGGTTTCCCTTACACGACATTTATGAAGATTAAAGGAAATATTAAGTCATCGCTGGTTACCAGCGGTCCCCCTTTACGCACGTTTGCGGGTTGTAAATAAGCGAATACACTAATAAAGTTGTTAAGAACCCTGGAGTTTGCGAATGCATTGTAAAAGTGAAGGAAATGGTTTCAAATATAAAAAGCGGAAGAATCCAGTACCACTTGAAAATACTTGAAAAGTTATAAAGATATGTCAATGCGATGAGCGCATTGTAGATATTGTTCGTGCTACAGGTATTTCAGAATCAATTTCTGAAGACCATACGCAGTCCAGCAGAAAAATTAAAGTTGCACAAGTGCTACCACAATCGTCAATCAAACTTCAACCAAATAAACACAAATAAAATCGCCAATAATGAAGGAAAGATACCAATGTCGCAATGGATTTAATGTAAAATGTACGTACTATACCGTTACAATCCATGTTTATTTAGAATAGAGCAAACGTTATTTGAGCGTTATCTCATTCGGTCCCTAAAGTGCAATGTTTTACTGCACGAAACGCTTGAAAGGACGACTAGAGACAAGTGCCTTTATAAATATGATGCAAGTCAGATTTCGTTAAAGCCTCTTCAAAAATTGCGATTTCGAAACTGCAGTGTTTATTTTTGTTGCGGTGTTTCAGGATTGACTCATTGAACTCCTATGGTAATTAGTCTCATTAGTGTAGTGAATATTATATCCTGGGATGTGTCGCTGTTTCTCACCAGCTTGATGGGTAGATCCGGTGCCGGCCAACACGGCGACGTGCGAGGTCCCTCTCCTGGTATCTCCCCTAGCGAGGCACCACCTCTCCATCTGAGACTATCTCGAGGCTCTTGACGTGTGGTTGTGTAGGGCATGTCAGAGGGTGTGAAGAGGAAAAGGAAGACGGAGGCACGCGGTCGGTAGCCCGTATGTTAGGGTATTGCTTCGGCTTTCGACTGGTATTGTTTCGCAGAAACAAAGCATAACTTAGATGAGAGGAGCCGAGTGCTAGAATTGTCGTTCACACAGCGGCTAAATTCGGGCTGGCTATATTGTGACTGTCGAAATTCCAACACCGTCGGGACTCGAACTTCAAGACCTCCCGGTCAGAGTCGCTGCAGAGAACGATAATGCTGGTTCTGTGCCGACTCAGTCGCTAATGATTCACGAGATGGCAGAGGAATTACGATACAATTTGCAATATAATTAGGGGCGGATTTTGATACCTAAGACATTGGAAAAATCAATAAAATGCTTTAAAAATGATGTAAAACATTTGATCAAAACCACTTCAGATGAACATCTCAAGCTGTTGGGTATATTACTGATGTAATGGAGTCTGCTTCCTCTTGTTCAAGTGAACTCACCTTACAAACTTTTGTTTGGACTGTTTTTTAAAAGAAAATCTCTGCCTTTATTTATCGCAAAATCGGGCGAACTGACAATGGCGCCAATAGGCGTCACAGGAACCATTGATTACTTAGTATTCACAACGGCTGACATTATAATATATGAGCGAAAAAATCGAAAATGTTTCGCTGGAATTCTGTGAATTATCGTAAATTTGTAAATATTGTTTAAGTAAGTAACATTAAAATATTAAAATCGATGAAATCGGTAAAAAATCATTAAAATGACGTAAAAAGGTAAACAATGAAATATTAGTCGAAATCGAAGGGAAATGAAATAAAAGACATAAAAATGTGTCATTTCGTTTTGTCTTATAAAATGCATTTGAAGAACGCGTTATGAATGTATATCTTAATTGCGGGGTCGTTTGTTGGAAGCTTTCGGTAAACTAGAAATAACTAGTGGTTCTGCAAATGGCACAAACGTTCCCATATTAGCTTTCTATTTCGTTTGGTCTCGGCTATCCATTGGGACTTGTCACATACTCTTGCCAGCTGCCATCTATCGACGCCCAAAGTACATTGTTTTGAAATTATCTCAATTTTTCGGTTTCCTAATAGTAGAACGGAAGTAATATTTTAAGAATATTAAAGAACAGTAAAACCTTGTTCGAAATGGTAATTATATTTGAAAACTTTGGAGCCGTTTTATGAAAAATGAGTTTAAGCGCTACTGTAAATTCGAAAATTGAAACTCCTTTTACAGAAATATTGTTAGTTTTCGAAAAACTTAATTAGAAATCATTTAATGGACATTAATTTACAAATACAGTAGTGTTTACAAATTGGAGGAAAGTGCATATTAACGGCGCGAGGTTCTTCCACAAAAATACATTTGTATAATTTTAGAAAAAGCACAAAAAACACTAAATAAACGTACGCCATAAAAACAGTCCAATTATCACTATCCCTTCGAAAAGTTGAAGACAAAATTTGGTGCCTATTTTCAGAAAATGGCGTTTAAGCGTTTCTGAAAATGCGAAATTTTGAGCTAGATTTCACAGATATTGGTTGTTTTCGAGAAACTTTATATGAAGCTTATTTAAAGCACATGTACCCATTTTGCCGCTAATGTAAATATTCACGTCGTGAGACACACGTCAAAATATTGCATTTTTCTAATTTTTGAAAAAAATAGAGCGATATGGCGTTTATCTCGTCTCGTAGAGAACATTTGGCACTATTCCTACCAAAAGTTGAAAGAAAAAAATGGAGCTGTTTTTGAGAGAATCTAGTTCTTGTAATTTTGTAAAATTTGCAATTATTGCTCGAAAACTGCCAGAATGGTACAGTGCCAAACAATTGTACATGACCTTAATGAGTTACGTTGGGATATAAAATCATCTCTCATATGTAACGTGAGGCCACCGTTGTTTTATTTTATGTTGTCTAGTTAGCAATTTAAACTATAAGAATTTGAAAAAAATTACAATAATTTACAAAGTTACAATATAGACATATTATAATAGAGCAATTCTGAACGCCATAAACTATTCATAAAGTACTGTCGGCATTTTCAAAATTGTTACATACTTATATGCCGAGTTGCGAAAATGTATATTTAATGGCGCAGAGAGACCATTAGTTTAGATTGTAAGTTTTAGTTGAGTGTTGTTAACTTTCGAAAATTTTGCTGTTATCAATTGTCTTAAAAACCTGATCCATTGTATTTACTTTCCAATACACATACGCACATACGAATAATATACGTAGTATAGGTTAAGTTAGGTAATGCTGTGAAAAAAACTTCTGGAGAATTCAACGGAAATGTTCCTCTCTCCCTGTCCGTCTCTGTCCCTGTCCGTCTCTGTCCCTGTCCGTCTCTGTCCCTGTCCGTCTCTGTCCCTGTCCGTCTCTGTCCCCGTGTCCGTCTCTGTCCCCGTGTCCGTCTCTGTCCCCGTGTCCGTCTCTGTCCCCCGTCAACACCACAAGCGCCTAAACCATATGTAGTTTTTTTCCGAATTGAAGAAACCTCTTTCCAGCTGGCTAATTTCGAAGATTTAAGATTTTGAAAATCTTTCTTCAAATTTTAGAGGTGCTTTAATAGAGAACATTTGGAATGGAGAATCCTCGAAGATTTTCAATATTCTCTCAAAAACCGATCTAAATTTTTCTTTATTTTTTTATTGGAATAGAGTAAAATAGTTATAATATTGTGGCGTATGTCCTATTTTTAGATTTGACTCAGAATTTTCGAAAATTTCGATGTATTGAATTTTTTCGATGTCTTCCTACAATTACAAAATTTTAGATAGATCCTTAAAATGAAATTTGTTGTCCATCATTAGTTATTTTATAAATGTCATGAGAAAACCTTTCGTAGTTTTTGCGCAATATTTTTAAAAAATAAGAAAAACAAATTTTTTCGTGAAGGCTCCAAATTGTTTTTTCCAGCTTTTGGTAGTGATAGTGTTAAATGTACTCTATGAGAAGACATAAACGCCATCTTGCTATACCCTTGGTTTTTTAAAAATTACAAAGATGTTAATTTTTTGTGTCGCCTCTCACGTCTTTAATATTTACATTAGCGGCGATTTCTTCACATTATTGCATTTACCAGTACTCTTGCACTCGTTAATATGACGTCCATAGTTAAAGTTCATTTCGAGGAATTTGTTTTTTTTCTTCAAAAATTATACAAATGTAAATTTTAATCATCTCACACCGTTAAAATGCTTTAAAATGCTTTTGTAATAAAGATTTTCGAATACTCAATAATCCGTGAAAAAGCTTCAGATTTCGAAATGTGCTTAAACGCTATTTCCATAAAACAACTCCAAAGTTTTCAAAGAAAATTGCCATTTTGAACGACGTTTTACTGTTCTTTCATATTCTTAAAATGTTATTTTCGTTCTACTCTTAGGAAACCGAAAAATGCAGAAAATGTTAAAAAGATGATCGGCGGTAGATAGCAGCTGCCAAGAGTATGTGGCAAGTCCGATTAGCTAGCAGAGACCAAAGGAAATAGAAAGCTAATACGGGAAAGTCTGTGCCATTCTGAAACACCACTACTTTTATATTGTTTTAAATATTGCGGAACAAGTGACTCGTTTAATTAAATTTGAGGAATTATTTTATTTTTGTCAATCCTTACGTTTTAACTTGTAGGTTCCTTTTTATTTGACAAACATTAAATTTTGAGACATTGTCGATGCGCGTCTTTTAAATTCTTGTTGGGCGTTGAGCGCTTTGCCTGGAGTAATCCTCCGTTACAGAGTAATTACTATTTTTGTCACGTCAAGTCTAGTCGCAGTCAGCGCCTTTTATCCCTTCGGCTAGGGTTTCGACGCCGTTAGATCCCCGCGTTCCTAGCCAGTCACCAAACTAGGAACCCACGACTCTCGAATTCGCTTAACCTCCGTGATTTCATGGAGAGTGAATTCGGCTAGCGACGCCGCCCATCTGTGTGTTCAATGTTTGTTTTATCTATGACACAACTTTCCATGCGGCAATCGTAAATTTCGGTGGTGCCGTGGAATTGTTGACCAAAATACTTACGGGATGTTTGAGATGTAATTCTAAGTACATATTGTTAATTTGTCACGAGCTTACAGCATGCCGACGCTCTCAGAAACTTGACACAGTATCCTTATAAGAACGACCTATTTGTTGATGAATCCGGGAAAGAAGGCCAGGAAAGCAACGGGTGCAAATTATAATGTTTTCATAGAAACCCTCCTAGGGTCAACGCATTTTGTCATTGGAAGCATTTATATTTTGAAACTGTGTACATGTCACTCCGAAAACTTTTATGTTGCATCTGCTTTTTACTTTCCCATATACTTACGTATATACGGAGTAATATACGCAGTATAGGGCTGTGTAATGCTGCGCCAAAAAACGGCGGAATTTCGGCAGAAAAAATTCATTGCCGGGCCCTGCTAACGAAAAAGTGGATAAATCCAGTTGCTAAATTAAGAAATTAAATCTCTAACACGTGTAGTCAGAATCCCGGTTTTATGGGGCCTTGATACCGAAAAATCAATTGACAGCAAAGCGTCCGACCGTCCGTGTGTGAACATCACCTAAACCAAGCGTAGGATTTTTCCCAAATTGATGAAACCCCTGTCGATCTAGTTCGAATTAAAGCTTTGAGATTTTGAAAAAACATTTTAAAATTTGGGGGTTCTTTACATGCAGCCCTAGCGACATTTTCAAAATTTTCTAAAAAGCGGTTCCAAATTTTTCCTTTAAATTTCGTGTAAGAATAGAGTAAAATACGGTTATAAAGAAGGCATTCAAAAGGTGGCTTCAAAAATTTGAAATGTTTGAATATTTTTGGCGTCTTCTTGCAATTGCAAAATTGAAGATAGAGATTTTTCCTTCGAATGCCATTGTTCTCCATCTTTAGTTCTCTCAAAGAGGTAATGTCCAGTTTTTTCAAAAATGTATTCGTTTTCGCGCAATATAGCGTGCAATCAGTGCAATTAAAAAAAATCTCAGAAAGGTTTCCAAATTTTTCTTTAAACATTTGGTAATGAAAGTGATAAATGTACTTTACGAGAAGACAGAAATTTTCATAAATATGGCTCAAAATATTTTCTTCAAACTTTTCTAACGGATAGTGCTAATTACACTGTTTAATATGCCATAAAGTTCATTTTGGGGTATTCTGTTCTTTTTTTAAAATTACACAAGTGTAATTTTTTTAAAAATATCTCTCACGACGTTAATATGCACATTTCCAGCGATTTGTTAAAACTACAGCATTTCTGAGTAAAAGTGATTCGAATGACTAGAACTTTTTCGAAAACTCAAGCATTTTCTGTGAAAATGTGCTTCAAATTTGGATTTACAGTTAAAGCTTAAACGCCATTTGTTTAAAAACCGGCTCCAAATTTGTCATTGAAAATTGTCAATATTAGACGAATATTTACTCTTCTAAATATTTCTTTATTTCTCTATCTCTCTAGATTCTGCTATTAGGAAACCGAGGAATTGAAAATCAATTCACAAACTGTACTTTCGGCGGCGATAGACGGCAGTATGCAAGAGTCTCAGCCAAGTCTGAATAGCTAGCCCAGACCAAGGAAAATAGATAACTATTACGAGAAAGTGCCATTCTGCAGCACCATTAGTTGAGGGTTGAAATCTCTCTCGAAAGCTCATTCTCAGCTATTCTAAACTTCACGACACGATACGACAAGATACGACACGACCAGATACGATACGACACGACAATACGATACGAACGACAATACGACGCCACGATACGATACGAACGACAGAATCGATACGACACGACAGATCAGATACGACCGACCAGATACGATACGACACGACCTACTAAGAGATTACGATACGACACGACCAGATATCGATTAACGACAGACCAGATACGATACGACACGACCTAATACGATAAACGACCAGATACGATACGACACGACAAGATAACGATCGAACAACAATGATCGATACGACAGCGACAAGATACGATACGACACGACACGACAAGATACGGTACGATACGACACGATACGGTACTACACGACGCGATACGGTACTACACGACGCGATACGGTACTACACGACGCGATACGAGCTACTTCCTAAAGCATTCTTTGTATGACTTATCTCTGCCATAAAATAAACAGTCATGGTCGTCTTACTTTTTGGTATTATGTAAAATGGTTATGTTGAATACAGCTTGTATCCAACTAATCTTTAGTCATCTCTTGAAATCCTCTTTAATCGAAGTGCGGAATATTCGAAAATAATATTTACCTTTAATTTTTTGAAAACTCAGAACTTTAATGAAAATTTCTCTTAAACCATGGAGTTTGGTGTATTGTGTTCTATCATTCAAAATAGGTTTAAAGTGAGAAAAAAATGGATTCGTTTTTGAACAATTTAGAGTTCACTCAGAATTACGCGAAATTACTCATATCTTGAAGAAAGTGTACTGCAATTTATTTAAAGATACTGTGTTGAGATATAAAAGAAATCCGACGATAGCTAAATTTGAACTTTTTTGTAACTATACGTCTCAAAATGTGTCTGAATTGAAAACTGGGAACGTTTCTCTGTAGAAATGATTCAATTGTTGAATGAAATTGTTTAGACGCTTTCACACCAATAATTTGAGTTATACCAATTTTCGTATAGTTACTGGAATTACGCACTTTATGTCGGCCCGACAGTAATGCATCTTTTGAAAATAATATTTTCTCTTAAGTATTGAAAGTAGCTGTTCTTGAAGCTATGATTATTCAGACGTTTGCTATAGTTGCATTTGCGAAAATGACAAGAGAAAATCTCTTCGTAGGCCTGCATGCAGTTAGATATGAAAAAAAAATGTTATCGTCACAGTTGAGGTTGAAGTTAGCTGGATTTGAGCTATAACTCATCTAACTTTGATGTATACTGTAAACGCCGAAAAAAATGGTATGTAATATAATGTAGTTTTTATAGAAAGCCTCAATTCTGAAGTACATTTAAGAAATCGTACGAAGAATTTCATTGTTATTTTGAAATAGTCAAATTAAAAATTAAGCATTTGTTTTCTTAACAAAAATATAACACCATGTATATTATTTATTTTCCAATGTTTATTCACAACCTTTCCAGTAATTGTATATACTGTGAAGTAACGTACACCTTAAATACACTTGCAATTACCTTAAAGCTATGTCCCGAACTGAGGAAAAAGTTATGGTCATGTTACGTATGAATGATTAAAACTACTAAAAGTTCGTAGCAGGGACGAAAGAAATTCGAAAAAGAATTGCAATATTGCCTTTAAGCATTTCTCTGTCATATCACGGAAGGAGAAGAGATGCCTGCGTAATGGATAATCATATTTTAAAAGACTCAACAAAATAGTGCGTTTCCATTTGCTCTTTAAATTTTCGAAAATTTGAGGATGTGAGACTTACACGAGCGCTGTTACTGGGTTAATCTTCGTGAATGAGCTCTCGAATGTACTCTAATAGAAATTGTATATATCTAAATATGTGAACATGAATGTGAATTATCACTTCTACGTGGAATGTAGAAATTAAATTTTTTCTTGTAAAAATCTTCATTTTTGCTGGAAGGTTGCGTGTTGGTCTTAAAATACGATTTGCAGCCATGATATATTGATTATATTTTGATAAAGCAAAATTAGGTTTTCACGCATGTTATGGGAGTGTACCCACAAAAGCTTCTATTCTCGTTTGCAGTTATCTGACGATAACAGACGTTTCCAACTCAAGGTTGTTGGAGCACCTAGTGTACAGAATTCAATTTCGAAAATGTGTTGTAGTTCCGCATGGTCCATCATTTGCTTGGTATGTACTAGCACAGAGAATCAATCTTCTTGTTTGTAATAATACCATGTAATTCTCATTACTCTGTTAAGGACAGGCAGCTGTGACGCGAGCGGTTGCGTCATAGCAGATAATGGAAGATTCTTGGTTGTGAAGATAATTTGAGGCACAGCGTTTAGTGCTGCGGCGGTGCTATCGTGTGAAGTGCATTTCTGTTGCTGTCGCCATGCTGGATCTGTAGGTACGGATCTCACAGTTACAAACTGACGCAGCCCAAGTAGACGATTCTCAACACTCGTTTTCGCGTCGCAGTGTTTGATAAATCGAGAGATGATAATCTTAATGAAGAGGGTGATTGAGAAAATGTTATACAGGGTCTAAAATACTAATGATTCACTTGTAGTGATAAATGTGTGTACTATGAGTATTTGCTAATTAATATTAATGCATATTTTGATCTCAATGACTTAACAGGAATCACATGAAAAATTATGATGTTAATGGTTGGCATTGGAGATCACTTCCCGTAGCTCATCATACAAATACTGCACTGATAGGAAGCTAGAAATGGACCTGTTTGTGCAGTATCGAGATATCGTGCTTTTTTATTGGAGAAATAAATTGATTGATGCAGTCTCCCATTAGGTTTCTGGGTTTCTCTTTCTATTGTGTGAGATTATTATTTTCCGATTTGTTTGTTACTACTAAGTTTAGTGAATTTATCTCCAATGAGTGTATTTGAGATTTTCCCTACCATATCCAAATTATTCAATTAGAGAAAATTTTACTTAATTAAAATCGTACCACGTCCACCGGCCGTTTGATAGGAACGGAATATATTCTAGACCCATCTTAGGTCTGAAAAAAAATGGATTTTAACTATATCCCTTTGAGATTATGAGAGACTTGTTCGGTGTCACGTTGACTATTATTTGTAGTATTTTAATATTGTCAATTCAGTACTACTCAGCTTACTTTTTTTATAATGTGACTATTTTCATCTGACTATGTTGTGGAGGGTGCGTCAGATGTTGATTTACCGAGGTTCAGGCTTTTTTTAGCATTGTTTTAGACATTTGCGCCCCGCAAAAAGCGAAAATTAAGTGCAACAATTGTGTGTTGGAAAATTACAGAGCGCCTGGTCCGTGTTTTATTCTGTTATTTGCATGAAGATTTCTGTGATGTTTTGTCACTGGTCAGACCTTTTGCTTGTTTTCTGAGAATCTATATAAACAAATATTGTTTTGACCGCATAGAATAATTATGAGTCATTGCCAACAATAATGTTTATTACAATAGCAGTAGGCAAAGCCATCGAAAGCTGCTATTGTAATAAACATTATTGTTGGCAATGACTCATTATTTCATTGTAAATGCCAACAAAAACTCACCACAATACCAACGCATAGAACTTCATTAACGGTCAGAATTTGTAATCCGTTTGAACCATTGAGCGTTGTTCTTAAGGCCAGAACAATATTTCACGCATGTGTTAAAGTCAGTGATGTTTTGTATTTCGAAATATTAAGGTACTTGCGCATTAGTTCTTGAGCAACGTATTAATGGATGCAAGAGTTGTTCAATGAAGGAAGTTTCCGGTTCTGTGCAATTGGAACTCTGCCAGACATCGCTCTATTCACTCCCAGTGTCAGTCTTCCTGGATGATTGTCGCTACCAGCGACTGGGAGGGCGTGTTTGAAGTTGTACGGACGGGAATTGTGATAACGGAGCTCCTACATTTCCAGTGGGTGGCTACTTCTGGGCGTGGCATCGAGAGATTCTAGTGACGCGTTGAAATATCTTCACTTACCTAATATATTTCTCGATGCTATAATTTTTAACTTTTGATTCCTTGTAAGATTGCTGTTGTGATCTAACTTCTGTGTAGTAGTTTGCTTGCATATTTTCCGTTCTTGCGTAATATATTATTATTGAATAAGACATTTTTATTTCAGTAAACGAATGCAATATTTAATAAAATGATATTAACATTATGAAAATAAACTTTGAATAAATGTATTTCTTAAATTCAACATGTCTGAAAATCTATTCGACATTATCTAAAAAAAATGGATTTATTTGGGTTTCGACTGACTATTAGATGCTTCTCTTAACTGTGAACGCTGCTAGTCGACGCGACTGAATTGACTTCTTTGCCTTCTGCCTTCCACTTTTTTCTGCCTACATACTTCGTGTCCGTTGATGTGAAGGCTGCTTCGCTCAGCCCCACAAGACCTCATCAGCTGTAACGAAGTCTGCATTTGAAGTGCGCAAATCAGATTATTGACTTGACGGCCTCTGAAGGAGCGGAGGGGGAAGTTCGGCCGGCTTCCATTAGCTCTTTTGAAGAGCGCCGCAAAACGACGCGCGTTTCACATTATCCCTCGCCGCGTTCACGACGTAGCTTTTCTTTCAGAACGCTTAATGTTACAATTAGTTTACTCTGCATGTTGGTGTTAAGGAATGTGGTTTGTGAATTATGACAAGGATTTTATAAAACCTTTTTAACAGTTTGTGATTTTACTTGTGTGTTTGCGCTTTGCGATGAGGTGTAAGAGCGGTTTGTATTAGTTTACTCTTCGACGATTTTGATAAAATACGATCAATAAGAATGTAGTCTTAGTCTGAAATTGCGCAAGATTTTTTTTTCTCCTATTCTTTTTCCGAAGGCAGTAGATTTCTCCGATTGATTTCCAAAAGTACATCGCAAGATTGGCAGCGCTTTGATATCGAAGTAAAAATTCTGGACGTTGGGGCACCTTCAGTTTAATGTTCAATGTCGTTGATCTTCGAATTAATCTACCGAGAACGACCGTTTGATGAAACGTAATCGTGGTCATCGGCTTCATCTACTCATTTTGACAGTTGTGGTCTCGTTTTAACTAAAAAGATGTTCCGAGCCCCTCAGCTGTTGGGCAACAAGTCTTGAGCAAAACCTGATTTCCTCGGATAGCGTAAAGAACTCAAAATGGCACAGGTTTAACTTTCTTTGAAATTGCCAGAATTCAAATTTTTTCGGTGTCGTCTTGCAACTATAATGTTAAAAATTCTTTGAGATTTTTTGAATGTAGAATTTTTCTTTAATAGAATGTGTTGTACAAAGACGGATCTTGAAATAGTCATGTGCAATTTTTCGAAAATATAAGTTGTTTTTGCATACTTTTGCGTGAAGGGGCAATTTTGAAGCAATTCTTTTCTTAAAAACTTAGTTTTCTTTAAATTTTCTCCTCGTGTATATTCGGGTGGACGGTAAAAAGAAGTGGTGCTGGTTTTATTTCGGAACATTGCAAAAAATTAATATTACAAAAGTAAAGTATTGAAGATAGGTATTTTTGTCTTTAGTCAAATATGTTCTAAAAAATCAGATTTTTAAAAAAGGTCATCGACAGTATTTGAGAAACAAAAAAAAAAAAACTAGTTTCCCCTCAATTCCTGCTTGGTTATTGCCGTTTATAAAAAAATCTCAAAACTACTGCAATCTTTAAAAATTTTTCCCGCGGCTAGAGTGATGGACAGTTAAAAATATTGGCGTAGTTCTAATTTTCTTTGTTCTAAAATGTTGGTAATTGCAAAAGTGAGAAACAAAGCAGGGAAATGTGCTGTTGTAGTTCCATTACCTCTTTTTTTTTAAAATACTTAGCGTTTTAATTTGCTACTCTTTAATTGTGTTACGGTACACATGTATCTCGTAAACATTTGCAAGCAACAGAAATGTGTGGTTTTTGAATTCCAATGTGCTTTCAATAAATAAAACGCCCATTTCGTTTACGACTGACGACTTCCTACTTTACGCCATGACGGTTGGATTAAATTTCACGTAGCTGAGCTTACTCAAGTGTTCGTAGTCTCTCTGTTGCAGATCAGTTTCTGCTGCGGGTTTTTGTGTCACTGTTCTGCCGGCTCGTATGGTACTGCGTGGTGAGAATGCATAAAGATCTTGTTCTTTTTTTTGTGTCAGTGTGCTTCTCATTATGTTCTTAACTCTGATGGCACCTTGAAGGTAGCCGGGCAGAGTTCTTCTCTGGATCGGACTGCATATTTATAGACATGTCTTACAGGTAGTGATGATGGTGAAAGATCAGTGCATTATAA